TAGTTGTATTTTGGGGGAGTATTATATTAAACCATTGGGCAGGACTGTCAGAAACGCTGATACCTAGAGCTATTGCCAGTCATGTGCTGATGAAAGACACGGGGAGAGAAAAAAGTAAAACATAGAGCAGGAGATAGTCATCTTTTGAGGCAGAAATGAGTGTTTTGTCCCCAAAACACTTTGGAAATACCAAAAAACTCATTCAGGAGAGAAGAGAGGAACTCGCCGAGCACCTGGGACGCTATGCTCGTCCAGCTTGCAAGTCAGCACAGACTTTTTGGCCCAGTGAGTGACCACAATCTATGGGTAGACTTCCTTGTGAGAAGGAAAAGAAAGAAAACACGATGTTAGGATCGGGGTTTAAAACAACGAGCGTGTTTGTGAGAATCTGCCCGAGGGAAAATAGTTTAGAAAATTAAAAAACTCCACAGCAACAGACTGAAAGCTGTTAACCAACATCTAATTAATCACAAACTGCAACCCCCACAACAAACCATTAAAGGGAATTACAGGCAGGAGAAAAATACTCACGCAGCAACCAAGCTTACCCAGATCAAAACAAGTATTAAGGAAAAAAACCAAACCTCAAACACCACCATAGCGATGACACCTGAACAGGAAAAAAAAAAGCTTTTGACGAAACGATCAGGACTTCACCGTGAAGGGCCAAACCTGAGGTTATGTTGTATACAATCAGGTTTTGTTTTTTAATATCAAGCAGAAGGTAATCTCTAGGATCCTCAGAAAAACAACCACCCTGTGGTGAACGCCACCACGCTGCATGCTGGCACAAGCAATGCTCGGCCATTTTACAAGCACAGGGGAGTTTTTGGCTACTGTTTGCAATTACACCAGAGGGCACGGTCACTGCAAGCTTGCCTGATTTCTGTTGCTCTCGCTCTGCTCCAGCCTTTAACTCTGCTAGTGCAGGTTCGGTGCCTGGCCAGAAGGTCCCGCAGAGCTGCTGCAGCGGCGCGTTTTCTGTCCCGAGGGCTACACAGGCCCCACAGGGATTTCATGATCCGGAGTCCTGCTCAGTTAAGCAGTGAGGAATCAAATGTTTTGAGAATGGCAACTTTTAAACAATTGCCTCTCATCTTTCCCTGATTATAATAATAATTAAAACAGACACCTGTGACTCATGTCTTGTTTGCCCATCAACAAGTTCCTTTTGAAGTCTGACATAGCTGTCTCATATATATATACTCAGACCCCTCCTTACAATAAAGCCTTCACTTGGACATGGTTCTTCTGGGCCCCGTTTGAGGCTTTTTTTGCTTCTTCCCCCCCACTTTGAAAGTTAAAGCCACATCACCACAAAGTAAACTGCAGAGGAAGAGAAGTCAACACACTGTAACTCCTGGAATAGCCCCACGTCCACCAGACCGACCTCCCTCTAAGGACCCCTACACAAGGGGATCTCCTCCTGGTGCAGGCTGGAGAGCTGAGAAGCCAAGTCAGATGCTCAGAGGGGAGCAGAAGAAAACAGAAGTTAGGCTGCTGGACAGTGTGGAGCAAGTCACCTGGAAAAGTCAAAACTGAACGTGAAATAAAAGGCAAGCCAGCACAACTGCTTTAGGAGGAGATTTCATTACATAGAAGGTTATAAGTTCCGAATTGTGAAAGACTCTTTAAAGTACACGAAGCTGGGATAAAAGAACATAAAAAGACCTGATGAGCCACGGACTCAAACCTTGACGCTCTATTTAATATAAAATAAGTTTTGCAAAAACCAGATGGACTCAGGTGACACCTATGGAAGCTGACTTTGCACATCCTCCTATGCTGTGTGTTCATCCGAACGTGAAACACATTCCAACACGATGCAGAGTAGAAACCTGTTTGGATCTCAACATCTCAGAGCAAAAGACTAAAAAAACCCCAACCAAACCCCAAAAACGACCACGCCACAAAAAAATGGGAAATCTAGGATTATATAGCACTGATCAGGATCTCTTTATTGAGAAAGCTCAGAGATCATTCACAGGGTCTTTTGCTTATAAAATTGTCATTTTAACACCAGCAGGGTACAAGAGGAGGTATTTTAGATTAGATGTTAAGATAATGGCAGATACAGACTCCTGAAGAAAAAGACCATAGCTTTTCTTATCAAACCAGTTTTGATTACTTGCAAAGTTGATATTTATCATAATAATTCTGATCTGGAGCTTACTACACCAATAGCTCCTTTGAAAACAATCTTCTATAATGAAAACTGTGACGAGGTTGACCAGTATTTTTCAAAGTAAAAATTAACATTCTCACCTAACCCTCCCCCCGTCCCACTCAACTGTTTTAGTCTAATGGGTTGGGCTGAGGTAAAAAACTGGCTGCATGCAAACCATATGGCCAGCAGAACTACCGATCGTCCGTCTGGAAATGTTTAAACCACCTCCCATCTTCCCGTTCAAGTGATGCAGTAAACTCCAAAACACACAACTAGTGTGAGAAGAAAAAGATCAAGGAAATCCGGAAAGTGGTTTGACGGATTGAAAAAATCCCCAGAAAGAATCAAATGCTTCCTTTGAGTAAATATAGAGTCTTAAACACGGTCTCCAATTCATAAACACAAAAGAAACATTATCAACATGCAGAGAATTTAACTTTCAAGGGCTGACCTAAGAATGTGATTAAAACCACAGATGCAGCGATTCCCTACCTGGTTTGCATTTGTCTTTTACTGAAAGACACTGGTTCCTCTCAAGTTTTCAAAGCAAAACTCAAATACTTCAGGGTCACTTGATACTGCCACTCCTAATGAGAAAAACACTTGGTCCTCACTGTTGCCTTTTGGCAAATAAGAGAGCTGGAGAGGAATGCCCCCAAGTAGAAGCTCATTGCATCTCAAAATACTTCTGCCTGCAGTACCCTGGGTAAGTAGAATACGGACAGCTCATTAGCAGATGACATAGCGGACAAGTCTTGAGCCACGGACTTCCCTCACTCTCTGGCAGTGGCGCAGGATATTGAGGACTCTATGGAAGCGCTTATCCACTTTCAGCTGGGTGAACTCTTCGATGTCAGCGTCCACAACAAAATATTCACCTGGAAAACAAATAATGACTTTGCTACAGAAGTGACTATGTTGTAGGACACACTTCACGTTTCACAAGTAACAACACAACCTCTTCTTCACAATTCCACATGCAGATGAAAAAAAAAAAAAAATATCCAGTCAGCAGTAAGACAGCCTCACACCATTTCAGGGATTTTGCTCTTTCTCAATTTGTCACCAGAAAGAAGAATTGCCACCCCTCTCATTAAGCTCAACTATCTGCAGGGCCCACAGGCCCCACCCAGCGAGCTGTGTCTAACATCTCAAACCATCCATGCTCCTCTATCAGGGTATAAAGTCTGCAGCGGGTTCAAACACCACCCAGGGACAGATGCGCGACGTTCCACAGATGTGCTGGAAGATGTGGATGGTAGAAAGTCAACGGACAGCACACCTCGAAGAGCCTAACACTGAATCTCTCTTCGAGGCCTGGCCCTTAGGTGTCCTGCTCTTAGTGGTGTCCAAAGCATTGACCTGGGCAAAACCAAACAGATGCTCAGGGTCTGCTGCAAGATCGTAGCACGGCTTTACAGAGAAAGGCAGCACGCTTCAGCGTTTCCATCGTGGAACACAGCTGAGCAGCAGCTCAACTTGAATCCCAAGAAGTTGCCTCACCACATCTGAAATGAGCTGCGCCTGATGACGTTCTACTCAGCAGGCACTCCAGTTCTGCAACTGGCCCGCTGCAAACCAAAGGGGAGAGCCCTGCATACATCAGAGCTGGGCAGCCCACCGTCCCATTGACTTCTGTCAGATTTGGAAAAGAATAATTCTTCATTCATGAAGAAAATACGAGGAAAAAAAAGACTAATTGCTTGGAACAGCATCCTTCACGTGTCTCTAAGAAAATGGCACAGGAAGGTCCTGCATCAGAGCCGGCAGCCAATCGAGTAGAATACTGAACGCTTAATGCTTCCTGTGACATGGCATAAGGTTTTAACCACACATCTTCACAAAACCACCAGAAAGAAAAGCAATGTGAAACCAGGAACGTGCTAATTAAGGTGTAAGAAAGAAATGCCCAAGAATCTTTAAGGAGAGGAAGTAGAAGGAAATCACAGATTCTTCTGCAGTATCATGCTTTCAAGTCTTACAGGGAAGAAGTCGCAAGGCTAGAGGTGTTCTAGCTTGGAAAAAAAAAAGAGGATAGCATTCTCCCTCCTCCTCTTATCCTTCAAGGAAGGCAGCGGCAGCAGCGTTTTAGTCAAGATGGAGCACCTCTTCTTTCTATTAAGTGAGCGGAGAGTCCTTCCCGTTCCACTGAGGAGAAGTAACGCTGCTGAATTTGCAAACAGATGAGAAGTGGAAAGTTTCTTCACTAGGTAAAGAAAAAAACCCGCATAACTGCTTAAACTCTAACTCCAGTTGGATAGGGACCATTTGTGATTTCTAGTAACAGGGCAATTCACCTAAATGAGGGACCCAGGGATAATCCGCAGACTGGTTTCGCAGTCTGTAATATCCAGGGGGAGCATCCAAATCTGTGCAGAACACGATTTCTTCTTGTATATGCCCAGAATTCAGGGCAGCAACGCTCAGCATAGCAGGATTTTTTTTTTAATGAAGAAATCAGAGCTGGATAAAGGGCGGTGGTTTGGTTGGTCTGCGCGCTAAATAACTACCTAAACTAACTGAACCATCTTTCTGGCTGGAAGGTTACCCTGAAAAACCAGGCAGCATCTTTTCTCCTGGTGAAATCAGAGGACGAGGTCAGTTGGCAATCAGCCCAGGCTGAGAAACTGTGGGAATCCTAAAGAGAGAGGCACTCGCAGGAGAAATTTAAGCAAACAAATCAATGAATGCACCACCTCAGCCTGAAAAATGCAATGGATAAAGACATTTAATCATTTTGGGCTAGCCAGATAAGAACAGTCTGACAGCCTGGCAGACCTTTTCTCTAGACTTTCTAGATGATTAGTCACAACAAACCAAAACAAACCTACCCCCCCGCCCCAGATGCTGAATGCCCTAGTTTCCGAACCGAACTTGCCAACATAAAGAAGAAAATAAAGACTGTCTCTCAGGTATTTGGAAAAAAAAAAAATTAAAAGCTGCAATTTTTCAAAGTTAAAAAAAAATACTTTCTGGTAGAAAATGAACTCTGACTAGTTGTAGCTTTCTCAGGTTGCTAGAATGGCTCCTTCATCGCCGCCGTGGATCACGGGGCAGACTAAGCAGCATTCTAGGCCTAGAAGGGCCCTTCTAGTGCTTAGCCTCTCCTCTCCAGCCACGGGCTCAATCTCCTCACCATCGTCCCAAGGGCAGTAACAGCTAAACCAAAAAGACACCGTAAGTTACAAATGCTGAAGCAAGTATGTTAAGAACTCCCAGATTAATATGAGACATTGTTAGACTGAAGCAGAACTTGCCTAGAAAAAAAACCTACCAAACTATCCAAGCCCAAATCAGAAGCCAGAGGTGAAGCAGCCTAGCTGCGTGCCTTTAGCAGGCTTTTATTCAAGTCCTTTATTACAACACTGACTTTCATGCGACATGTTTATCCTACAGGTCTCAAAATGAAGTGCCAAGCATGTCCATCAGATCAGAATTCCTTCCCTTCAGAAGAGTGGCATCTAGAATCAAGAAGTTCGTGATGTCGTCACCGTATTATAATACTGAGAGAGTCTTGATCAGCGACAAACTCAAAGGAAGGAAGAAAAAAGTTGTAGTTTGTCACAAGGTGAGCACTCAGTGAAGGCACTTAGGGCAGAACGTTCTTGCATTCTGTCCAGGGAAAAGGAAAAAAAAATAATCGAGAGGTGTTGTCAGGAAAAAAAGAGCTCCCTTTGTGCAAGACCCAAGTTTGCTCCACGCTTTGTGTCTCAACTCAGAAACACGAGGGCGTCCTAAGGACATCGCCAAGCTTGATATGTGCAGTACAGCCCTCCAGGAATAATTACACACGTGTCCTCAAAAGGAAAGGAATGTCAAAAAAGAGACTTTGAGATTTCCTGCGCCACATATCTTTGGAAAAACTAACGTGCAAGTACAACTTGCTTTTAAACTGCGAGGCAGACATCCTGGTGCATTTTCACTCCCTCTATGGCTTTTAGGAGGGGAAAACTTCAGGTTATCAGACAGTCCTGGCTCTTCCTCAAAGTTGCTGCAGCATGACTGATTACCCAGATTTCCCAAATTCAGAACAATTTTTCAACAGTCCGTGTCCATTCTAGCTTAAAAACTGAAAACACAGTTCCGTTCTCAAACTAGGAGTTTCCAGAACTTGTAGTGATTCCAAATTCTATCTTTGTGCACTCCAAGTTTTTGCTACACCATCACAAAAGTGACATATTTTCAGTGAAAACACATAGAAAGTAACCAAATCAGCAAGGGGAAAACTCTTCAGTCACAACAATAACCCTCGTTGCTTAACTATATGACTTTACCCAGAGGAAATGACTGGGCTTTCTTTCTACTGCCTACCCAGCTCTGGATAGTAACTTATATTCCTTATGGCCTAGAATCTGATCTGGAAATGAATCTCCTTTCTGTTCTCCTCCTCTTATGTCAAGGGAGAACCAGAACTTCCCTTGCTCCAGACTGTAGAAGAGTTGTTCGTCCCCTGTAGTGGACAGGAATTCTTCACAGCCAAACCTGGTTTAGATTTCTGTGCTGGGAAGGGGGGAGGCAAAGCCCTGATAAGTCTCCAGATTTGTAAGCTGTAAGTTACACTATAACATGAAAAGCACTTGGTGTCATTAGTCATTCAATATTTTGTCCAGTATGATTCTACTTGTGCTGCAATATCCAGGTGTTACGTGTTTCATACTAACAAAGTTAAAAAAAAAAAAACAACCCAAACCTTTTGTATCCTTAGTTTCATCTTTCAGGAACCTGTGGTAGAGATTTCTGTCTACTGTACTCAGAGATTTCAAAGGCTGACGCAGGATCTTGTACTTGCTCACCACGGCCTTGTTCATATCTTGAAGAACTGCGTTAATCTGATCACACGTTAAACGACACTTCATATACCTACAAACAAAAATAAAAATCAGCAACCAGAAAGTCACAAACGAAGTTCCACGTTTATTTTTCTCTTTCATCAATCTTAATTGAACATGTTGCTCCCAGTTAGAGGCAGTTTCTTCTGCTTTGTGTTAATGAATAAACACAGCAATTAATTTTGTCCATGTCTTTCATTGTTTAATGATCTTGAAGGTAAAAAAGCCATGACAAAACCCAAACCAGAAAGATGAAACCATAGAAAGCTGAAGGAAGAAGTCAAAAGTAGCTGAAGCTGTAAGGAGCCTTTCAAAATGCAGTAAAGGTTGCTTTTCTAGCATACCACTTCGACTACAAACCCAGAAAACCAAGCAACTTTGCAGAAAACATGACGCAAGCCAAAACTGAAATTAAGCGTTTTTGCCTAAGAGCGCAATTTGGTTCATATTATAATCACAAATAACCCGTGCTTCACCTTAGAGCCATTCCTTTGGTTTTTTTGGGGAAGAAATACCAGTTTGGGCTTGTTTATTTTATTGTGTAGCCTACTGAGCTATACAGACACAACATCCTCTTCTGAACTTTCAGAGCCTTTCATAAAACTAGTACTAAAATAATAAGATCTGTTGATAACAGCCTAGAGGTACAGGAAGCACAGAAGATAAAAACAAAGTGATGTGGAAATATTATAACAGTGGAATATTTGCAAGCAGGGCTCTTCAGTATTTACAGACGTAAAGGCACGCATTCAAGGAAAAGGAAACGTGCCCCAAACTGAGAAGCCATTATATAGAAATGAAACACGAAACTCCTAGGACGAGCAGCAAGCTAAATACACAACAAAAAGCCCAGAAAACACCGCAGTAAAAGCCAGGGCAACCTGGCAACTTGAATTACCCTGCGCTTGCCATTCAGTTGCTACAATAAACCAAACACCGACGGCTGAGTTTGGTTCAGTATCAGTTTGGAGACGTGTGGAATTAGCAGACTTCTCTTTAGAGAAGTGTTACAATTTGTTTGGGGTTCTTTAGGTCAGTAAGTCGGGCAGCCAAAAGCCACTGAGACTGAAAAGATCAGTGAACAGGGAATTGATTTTAATCTGAACGGAAAAACTGAATCTTTGGAGAACGTACAAAGAATTTAAAGCACAAGCAGGTAATCAATTACAAACTCAATATTCCAAACCCGTATGTGGGCAGGCATTACACAATCGCCAACTAAAAACAAATGCTTGCTGGAGATTTTAGATAGAGCCATCCCCTGCTGGGGAGACAGCTCTGCACAGGGTGTGTAAAGTCCTGAAATCAAAGCGATTGCTCTAATTTCAGACCAAATTGCCATTAAGTTACTTGTAGACAGTTTTTAACTGCATGGATATTTTGACTAATCCAGATTTAAAGCTGGAGGTGCGGCCTTTTTCATAAAAAAGCTCTACTTGGCACATGTAACATCTTCTCAAAGAAAAGCAGCGCTGCCACCCCTGAAAGCCTGTTTATGAACTCACAGGAGAAGGTGCAGAGCTATGAAGATTAAGGCCAGAGGTACAAAATACCTGTATTTAAGTTCCTGCGCTCCCGCTGTCAAGAGAGATACAGTGAATACACTTAATAAAACCAAGAGAACACCTCAGCCCACCCTGAAACAGAGAGAGCGGATTCCGTTGCCTAAACCTAGGAACCCAGCGGTCTTTGCGAGGCCCTTGGGCATCCAACATGCTCCCACGGGGCCAGGAGATGTGCTGGGGCTTACAGAAAATTCAGTAACTGAAGATCTGGCAGAAGATGCTAAAGCATCTGCAGCGGCAACCAGGCAGCTGAGCCATTTTCTGTGCTGACCAGTCATCCTACAAGAGCAGGGGGCAGTCGGGGAGCGCAGTGACACCTGTGCCAATGTATGTGCCTTAAGCTGAAACTAAATTCTAAAAGCCACTGGAATTTTTCTTCTGTAGGGATCATAAGAACTCCAGCTGTTCCGCAGTCTTCTCGTGTTTCTAGCCAGGCATGGCTAGCAAACCCATCAATGTGACATTTATTTCAGCCCATACGTACACTAATGTACAAATTCAAAGTCAGGCAGCTCCAAATTCATCCATTTAATTTCGATTTAAAACCTGCTTCAATACACCAAAAGCAAAAACATCCAGAGCTCTTTTTTTTTTTTTAAATAAAAACCAAGTGACCCAATTTCTTTTTTTTTTAATCCACAGAAGCCCTTTTCAAAACATTTTTTCCCCATCGGTACGGAAAGAAAAGTGCTATGTTCTTCAAAGAAAATAACAACATCAATCTATCACAGACACACCACTGGAAAAAGAGATAAATCTCCTAATGGCCAGCCCTGCTCCCTCAAAAACGCTCAGGCTAAAAGCAACGTATATTCCCCCAAGTTACCATCTTCTGAGACTTTAGAGCTATAATGAACGTGCAGCTTCTAAAAATATCTTAAGCGGTAAGAATTTGAGAGACAGAACGATCAAGCGTTTTCTTTTGCCTTGAATTCAGAGTTAACTGAAGACATCCACTGCGCAATTTCCTTTTTTTCCCCCCTTGCTCCTTTCTGCCACAGATTTGAAGGCTAAGATAATTTGCAGGTTTCTCACTGTGCCAGAGTGTTCTATTTGATCAAGCTGCTCCACATCTGTGCCTTAACACAGCACGTACCTTTGTTAAATACCTGCCACAGAGTTCTAAAACCAGGAAAATCTCAATAAAAATATTTCTATAGCGCAGTCGAAGACACAACCTGTCCATAAATCAGCGATGAATAGAAGAGGATGCAGTTGGCCTCTGTCCCCACTCTCCCCACCCACAAACAGCAGTGGAAAACCTTCTGCTTTCAAGGATAATGAAACACTTGAAGGGACTATCAGGGAAGATCATAGCTTTAACTGGAGGTTAAATCAATATTTGGCTGGAATGGTCCCTGTCTACTTCTCTTGCCTTGGCAGAGGTAAAGACCAAAAATTCCCACGCTCCAGCTTTACCTTTCCAAAATTTTATCAGAAGAGAAGTACCCAAGGGAGCAAATCCACCAAATACTGGGTATGATCTGCAGAATGAAAATATCAGTTGCGTCCACTTTTAAGAAGTGAACCAAGAGAGTTCTCTCTCATGAGTCCAACATTCAGGCTCCTTCGTTTTTTGGATTGAGCCATTCGGTGGGAGAAAATGGAAAAAACTGCTCCCCTGAGAATTCTGAAGGCTATAGGAACGACAATTTGAAAGTAAAACACAAACTTAAAAATTTCGTATTGAAACAAGTGTTGTCAGGGAACACACCAAATCTAGAGTCTAGCTTACAATTTAGCCTTAGGCATCAAGAGAATTTTCTCTCATTTGCAGAAACATTTGTCCTTGTCCTCAAAATGTCATTTAAGAAAAGTTATTGCTACATGACAGACTTCAGACAAGGATCTCTATTAATCAGGTCCTGATGGTAGGGGGAAAAACCCAGAGCTTTCTATTCCAGAAATCCGGGATATTTCTGTGGGAGGTGGGTTTTTTTGCTTTTAACAAGTCTGAGCTCTTTTCCTGTCTCAAAACTGATTAAGTCAAGACCTGACGTTTTCAGAAACCAATAGTTGGGTCCAATAAAAACAGTATTTATCATTATTTTTCCTTTTAAGGGGAACCGCACCTGTCACCTTATGAGATGATGGCTCTTTTTTGTTAAAAGTTCTCAAAACAAATAAAGAAGCCATCTATTAGCTAATACATTTCTGATTAGACAATTAAAGTGACTTCTGAGACAAGCGGTTTGGGTTTTAACTGGTTAGTTCTGACCTTCCCAGCAGATACATAGAAAGAACCTAATTAGCTCAATTCATTACATTTTCAGGTTTGCCAGTATTGCATGTAAATTATTTGGAGCTCTCACAATGACGTTTCACCCCGCGGAACATTTAAAATTTCAACCCATCTCCGTCACTCTCAGCTCCGCAAGAGCTCACTTACCCAAACCTATGTTTGCCACCCAAACGGGCACGGCAGGGTCTAAGAAAAGCCGCGCTTACTTACGCAGGAACGCTTTTGAATTCTTCTGCAGTCAGTAAGAGTGCTTCTTTAACAGGTTTGGGCTCTTTCGGAGGTTTCTTTGGACGTTTGGGTTCTACAGCTTTTGTTTGTTCTTCACTTTTCACAGGTAGCTCCTTGGTGCTGTAAAACACATGAAAATTCAGTGTATAAACAGCAGTAAGGAGAACACAGCTATATTATCAGGTCTGGTTACGCACAGACCTAAGCTCCAATGCATCTGCTCGGCTGGATGAACACAACTCACAAGCTTTCCCAAAAGAAAAATAAATAAAGCAAGCCAACTCCACTTCAAACTGCGCGCTTTAGCCGACTCCATTACAGCTCTCCGTCTCACCGCTCGCAAGGCTGCTCGCCGGTGAACCGGGCGCACTCCAAAAGCGGCACAGAGCAGCGAAGAATCCAACGTACCATCACATTTCACAGAACACAGAGCTGCAGCCTAACAGGCAGATTGGAACTGCTTCACAGGTCTCTGAAAGAAGTTCAAATCGGGGGAAGCCTGACTCATCTATTAATCTTTTGAAGCAAAGAAATTCAACACCATCCGGCAGGCTGGGATTTCTTTTATTTTATTTAATTTTTTTCTTTTTTTTTTTTTTTAGGCAAGATCCCAAAAGCTGAGGGATTTCCTGCTTTGAGTGATTATTAGAGCATTATTTTTATGATTTCACCCTTCCTCCAAACCCTCAAAACGCCAAGTAATTTGCTAGCCGCTCTCCTACTCGTCGGTAGGACAGCATTTGGCCAAATTCTCCTGACTACGAGGATATTATTGGGCTGAGATGCACACCAGAAATCACAAAGCAGCACCCAGCTGACCTGTCACAGAGGACTGATCCTCTACTTTGATCTGACCTTCCCACAAGAAGAGATCTTTGATGTGGGGCCCCGCAGCCGGCCAAGGGCACAGCAGCGCCTCTGTTGACCTGAGGGCCTGGATTTGACGCGTCACTTGAAGTGACAGCCCCAAACCCAGCGTCCCGTTTCCCAGGGGAAGATGACTGCGGCATGGAGGACAGCGAGTGCCACCTGCTGGGCTCCCAAACTGCCTAGTCCGGGACCCAGTGACAGGGGAAGCTCCGCACCGTGCTGTGCAGAGCATTCGGAAACCCATGACGCCAACAGTTAAATTAATTCACACGTATCCATCCCCCTCACTGCCACAAACCTCTCTTTTCTAGATGATTCCGCACCCCCAGGTGCTTCGGGTCCCTACACACCATCTTGCCTGTACATCGCTGCAGTGTGATGTTACGCATGCAGCTCGCTGCCGACCTCGACCATGAAAAGAAAGAACTGAAGCTCGTGTTCAAAATCTGGCTTTGGAGAACCCACTCTCTGAGTGAACACCTGGAATACAAAGGGCTTAAGATACATTGAACTTGCTTTGTAGTTCAGTGAGGTACCTCCAGTAAATAAGAACATCAAACCCAAGAACACAGGAAGAGAAACAACACGAATTGTTCAATGTCTGTGGGGGTGTTTTCATTCTTTCTGGGATTTGAAGGCCTGTCTGAGCAGCGTTCAAGTGCTCGCTCTGCTTCCTGCATCACTTAGCTCACGACAGTCACTCAACAGATGGTCAGTACTCAGCTGCCCAAGCATTGGGGGATGTAGAGGAACAGAAATGGAGAAGCTCAGTGGAGGAAGATTTGGGGAAGAGGAATGAAGCCCTATTTACAGTGGCACACCAACAGCAGTTGCAAGCTGGAGGAGCACAATCTGGTAGTTGCCGGGTTTTACATACGTGGTTCACTCTAGAAAGGGAAGGAGCAGTTAAAGTCGTGCCACAATTAGCTTCTTGATCAAAAGCAGGACAAGACTGGAAGGAAAACCAACACCCCAAAGAATCTCTCTGATCTCAGAAGTGACAGAATCACTAAATATGCCTCATTTGCATCTCAGCAATTTCCAGGAGCTAACAGAAGACAAAAGGTTTTCCTAAATTAAGCGACGAAAGGAAGGCAGAACCCCTGTGGTAATTTCTGAACTTCTATTCTTTCACACAGAGACAAAAAACCCACAACATTTCAAGTGAAAAGGACCGGTATGTCCACACTCGTGGCCCACGTACCAGCTCTGAGTTGGTTCAGGCAGAGAAGGAGGAATGTTCTCATAGAGATGCTGTGCTTCGCTTCGATATCTCTCAACAGACTTCCGGAGCTCCTGAAATTAATGTTAGACTTCATCAGAAATCTGACACTATTAATGTCAAGCAAGTAAAATTATTAGGGCAATGCTAAAGTAATTTTTTACTTGTCGAAGAAATTTGAGTGGGCAAGTAGTAAATATTCAATAATACACTCCAGCAGGTTTGGGCAGGGGAAAGGTGGTGCTGATGAAGACAAACCACAGGGAACTCACCCATATTTCCCAACGAGCACCTTCATAAAAGACTTATCATGAAGGCACTGCAAACACCCACTAACCCAACAGAGAAATAGCCTAATCAAATCATTTTCACAGCTACTGCAAGGATGTAAAAATAGAACCACTCTTCAGATCACAGTATCTAGTCTGATACAGTCATGCTTTCAATGTATAAACCGTGAAAAACAAGAGTTTTACATGTTCACTATGCTGGAGAGCTGCTTAATAAACCATTGGTAAGCCTGTTCCAAGCCCCAGTTTCTCATGCGAGCACACGCATCCGAACATACCACTGACGATCTAGGAAAGAACAGCTATGCGCTTATCAAAGATTTCTTTGAATCCTTCAGTATTTTACGAACAGGGGGAAAAAAAAAAAAAATTACTTTCAGCAAATTATTCAGTTGTTCTTGCCGTTGAACTTCGGCTTCCATTTTATTCATGAGATCATGCAAGATAGACATCTCCTGTCCTATTTCAGGGAGCACAGACTTGACGGATGGTTCTTGACCTGTCAAAGAGAGAACGTCAAGCCAAAACACCTCCAACACAAACCCCAAATCCCATTTCCCTCCCCTCCACAAGCAGTGATTATGTACCAACTCCACGCTCCCCAACCCCCAAACCTTCCCACAAGAAGCAGCAAGATTCGGAGGTCAAACAGTCGACATCTTACTCCACACAGCCAACAGAGTTCAAAGCTGCTGAGGAACAAAGATCTCTCTCCAGCGTGATGTTGGAAAGCACTGAGCTGCACCGACTGCCACGCAGGCTGCAGGTGGAAGACACGGGTCTTAACCACAGCCTGGCTTTCACAACTGCTTGGCTGCAGCACCCTGTTCTCCTTCGTGACCTCTGTTTAGGGGAGCTCAAAAGCTACTACCCTCTTCAGAAAGTTATAGGTCCTCTTCCAAAAGGAGGTCAGCCTGGATGACTATAGGGGGGGGCTGAAGCACCTCCCCTGTGAGGACAGGCTCACAGAGTTGGGGTTGTTTAGCCTTGGAGAAGGCTCCGGGGAGACCTCAGAGCAGCCTTCCAGCGCTGAAAGGGGGCTGCAGGAGAGGTGGGGGGGGGGGACTCTGGATCAGAGAGGGCAGGGATAGGGCGAGGGGTAACGGTTTTAAATCATCAAAGGGAGATTTGCAAGGAAGAAAATCTTTCTGATGAAGGTGGTGAAGCACTGGCAGAGGCTGCCCAGAGAGGTGGTGGGTGCCCCATCCCTGGGAACATCCCAGGTCAGGCTGGACGGGGCTCTGAGCAGCCTGATCCAGTGGAAGACGTCCCTGCTCATGGCAGGGGGTTGCACTAGATGGCCTCTGAAGGGCCCTCCCAGCCCAAACCGTTCTGTGAGCAGACTTTCCCAACCAACATTTCTGTGGTACTGTGTCTAGGAAAGCAGATGAATCTAAAACCTTCAGATCAATTTCAGCACCTCAGTTTAAGTAAGTTTGCTGCTCACTGTGTGTTTTCATCAGAGCCAGGCACTCCTGGAATGCTCGGACTGGACACCTGTATAAACTTCTGTCTCTGCCCCTGCATGTTTTTGTAATTAGACTCAACATACTCGCCAAAATATTTTTCTTCTCCGCTCTGCAGCTTTCCCCACCAAGGACACAGAATGTACGGTACGTTAAGTACCAGTCTTCAAGTCCCTCAGAGGAATATGTTTTCACTTAGCCTACGTTCCCTGCTTGGCACCTAGCTCCCCGATAACACCCCCATTTTGTCATCCTTGCTCACTTTGTCGCTATTCTCTATATTTTACTCCATTTCCACCTCGCGTTACGTTCCACGTCTAATTAGAGCATTCCCATTTTCTGCAAGGAGCTGCAAACCAAAACCCACTCTTAATTTCTTTTACCTATGTTTCTTAGTTGAAGAGAGTTCTTAATAGTTGAAATCTTTGTGTTGACATGAAGGCATAAATCTTCCAGGTCTGAGGACACCTTAGCCTCTGCCATCTACACCGAGGGGAAAAAAAAGAAGTTAAGAAAAATTTCAGTTGCAAACACTAAGCACGCGAGCAGAATTTTTAAACGGACCCTGATTTGTCAAAGAAGCAAAGGGAACTTAAATGAAGTGGTAAATGTGGTATCTACCTTTTATTTTACGCAACTGAAAGTAGGAGAGGAAGCACTGGCATTAGACAAATCAATTACCCTGAACTCTGGAGGTAAATGCAGGGTAACGCCAGTACAACAATTTCTCACGAAATTGGGTTAAGTCTTCATTATACTAAGGCGTTCGCTGTTTACTGTGATAAACAAGAAATATGTGGTTTATATAAAGCAGTTCTATAAAGCACTCTCAGGGAGACAGTTTTGTTTTCTTTTAGAAAACAAAAGAAAACGTGCGCTTGCTCGCTGGCAGAGCACGGAGGCACGAAAAGTAGCATCATATATCGGTTACTTTTGTGTTAAGTATAGTTATTAGCTCTATTAGAGGAACTGATTTATTAAAAAAAGTTGCCGAAACGCCTCTGCGTCACGACCCTCCACTTAACGCTGCCGCCTGGCAGCCCCGGCGCTTCCCGCGCTCACGCAGCTCCCTCTGGTGGTTCCTTCGCACCCGAAAACGAAGTTTTTTTCGCTTCCTTTGAAAAACCCACCACGACCCAGCAGTCCCGCCGAAGTAGTCAGGAGAGATCCGCCGACTCCCGCACCGTAG